TTAAGTTAACTTTAACCCACGACAGTTGTTTATTACAAGTAAAATATTTTTCATTATTTAAGTGCTCTGACAAATCTGAAAGCAGCTTAAATGTTAGTGCAATATTGATATATAATTTACATATTTCAAGTAGTTTGCTACAAATAATGCTGACTCAAATGGAGTGTCACTTGTGGAAAACATTATATGTCAACTGAGTGTGGTAATGCGGGAAGTTCTTCCCTGTATAAAAAGAGAAACTAAATCCTTTGTGCCAAATGCATTAAGATTCTGGATGTTTTTCAGGCTCGGTGATACCAATCAAAACTGAGAACTATTTATGTAAGAGTAACTTAACCTGCATAACAAGTATCCCATTGTTTAGTAGGCAGAGTAACAAGAGTTTATAGTAACCTAGGACATGAGTTATGTATTACTTATGGTTTTGTGTAATGGTGATTTTGGAGATAGAGGTTTGCTATTATTAAGTCAAAATAGGATACCAGTAGTATGTTTTTCATGGGAAGAAAAGCCTTATCTATGAATTATCATCTGAAAAGGCAGTTTTAAATTTGAATTAAAATTAAATGAATTAACAGTATTTGTTTTTAACTTCAGAGTAACTTCTGGTTAAGGAAAGAAATTGGCAACAAATAAATAAGGAGTAGCATTAATCCATGCCTGTATTCCCAAAGAACACATCTCACAAAACTATCCTGAAAACCAGTAACTTCAGCATTGTACAGTAAGATTTTAATTTATCTAAAAACTCTCAAGTTGTTACTTCCACCAATCTAAACTGCAGTACATATTTCAGGGGCAATTTTAACTTAATTTTCCAACTCTAACCTCAACAAGTGAGGCTACAAAACATTACATGATTAACATCTTGAAAACTAAATACGTAAATTCAATAGGATAAAACGTTGAAGTACTCCATTTGTCTAAGAACAATCATGATCTTGCATCTGATTCTCCTCCTACGTAGCATGGGAGGAAAATCTTGCATTCTGTAAACATAAGACAGTAACATGGTGATGACAGAGAGAAATATCTTTTTTTTTTTTTTAATCTCAGTGACCTTTCTCCAATAGAATGGAGATTGCACCACAACCTGCATTTTAGATGTAACGTACTCAGAGCTTTATTTCATGACACCTAACACTTGTTAAAAGTTGAAATGATAAGACCTCACCATTCTTTTCTCTGTGCTGCCTTAGTGATGTCACTCAAACAAGCTTCACAGGTGACTGATAATAATCACAAGATCTACTACGTGCTCTTTTTGAGCTCTCCAGCATTGGTATCTTCCCATAAAATTTGCTACCTAATAAGCTATATTTAAAAATAAACCCAACTTCAATCCAGTTTATTTGTCAAAAAACCCTTCAAAGTTGAACTTTTTCCATGGTAAAAACTACCAACTGCCTTTTTTGCTAATTGCAAGGCTTTGGTTTATCTGTCTTTAAAAACCAGCATAATAGTTCCATTTCCAGATCCACTCAATCTTAAAAAAAAAAAAAAATATTTTTAAAAAAAAGAGTTCCTGCTATTTTTTTTCTTATTCAGTTATTAAGTCTACACCACAGCCTCCAGCCTTCGTTTTCAGCTAGGAAAACCTCTCATTAGTACCTACACACTGACATTGTGCTTTTGTTGACTTTGCTGTAGCTGTTACTGTCTTAAATTATACTGCAACACTTGAGACTTGACAACATAACTAGGGACGCAAACCATGGACTGAAAAGTTAACTTTCCTGTCCCATTAATTTCTTTGTCCCTTTTATCTTATCACATAAACCAACAGATTTAGGCAGGTGTTGGGAAACCCCTTTCAACAGGAACAGTAAAAACAAGAAAGGGTGAAAAAAACCCAAATAGCCACCACTGTAATTTATGGCTGTGAAATACGATATACAGCAATAAAATGCAGACAGAAAACCAATTTTCCACACTTACTACCGTTAATTAGGAAATGGCTTCTAGATACCGTGTTCAACACAGCTGTTGAATGTAATGGCGTGGTGAATCTTGACAGTGAATCCTCCTTTCTTCAACTTCAAAACCGAAAAGGACTTTCAGGTTTTGTGGAGCGGGGTCCTTATCCTTCTGGATGCACAGCCCATTTAATGTTGGAGACCATCAGCAACTCCTTCAGCACCTTACATTCAAATGGTGAAAAACCATAACCCAGGAGGACTTTTCTCATTGCTTACAGTTAGTAAAGAATCTGCAAGTTTTTATGGCTAAATCAGTGGTTCAGTTTAAAATTTGAACCATCAGATACAGGACTAGCTTACTAAGTAAAAGGGAGTATTACTGGACACCTGAAGTCTTCAAAATATCCTCTTCAAGGTTGTTGAGGAACACCATCCTTTTTTAGTACTTGCTTCCAACAATTGCACATATTTGTAATTGAGGGGACCAGAAAGATTATCTAAACGCTTTAAATCTATGAAACTCTTCAGAACTATGAAAAAACCTTTAATTTTATACATGTAGTTTTAACATCTATTACCCAAGTACTAATTATACTAGCAATTTGCTCACCACATAACCATGAAAACTATGATTCTACAAATGAATACTTGCTCTGAGAAGTCATGAATCAACAGAAACACAGGTTTACAAATTTTGAATTTTGAAATTTATTTAGAACTCAGGGGTTAAGCGTGATAAATTTCCAATTGTCTGATAATAGCATACCCATGTCACTGTCATGGAAATTGCACTAATTCCCTCTGCCCCCCTCCCCCTTAGAAATCTGCAGGTTAATTTTCTTAACAGACGGTGGTTTTGCAAATAGTGTACTGTAGGACACTACTGCATTTCCTGAGTGTTCAAAGCTACTGTATGATACATTAAGCTGAAGAAAAAAAAATTATTATTCAGAACTAAACCAGCTCTTTTACCTTACTGCTGAAGTATGGAATAATAAAATGCAAAGTATTTTAACAGAAGATTGTGTTGGAATGCTTAAAAAGAAAAAAAAAAGGGATTTTTTAAATTACATCTTTTTTTACTTCAGTTTTGAACTAAATAATTTTGAACTTCAAGGCATTAATCTCAAGACTATTAAAAATGGCTAAAGAACTTAAGACTCACTCAGACTGAAATGTAGTTGGGACTAAAATATCCATGTTGGTATTCCTTGACCTTTTAGGGTAGTCCTAGTGGCTCTAACAAAAGCAGCATAACAGGGTATCTCTGGTTTGTGTTTATCTTTTTAGTGCTCTTGAAAATGAGTTACTAACCGCACTGACCAGAGTGCTTAATCATAGGATTTCAGACAATTGCCTTACAATGCACTTCAGCTTTATCGTGCAAAACCAATTTAGTCATAAACATCCCCACATTAAACACAATAAATTGTGCCAAAGTATGTGATGTGAATAAATGTCAGATCATCTACCAACACACTGACAAATGTCAGCTTGTCTATCAAGCATTGTTCAAGCCCAGAGTAAAATTTCATTTGTCAGAACTGAACTCCTCTATGGACAGACTGTATAGTCTATGTAAGTTTCCAGCTTTTGTCCAGAAAAATCTCTTCAAAGTTGTATTTACGCTGGCAAACAGGTTTAGAGGAGAGTTTCAGCCCTCTAAATTCACCATGAGTTAATACATCAATAAAGAGGTCCCACCATCTGTCAGAGGGATTTTTCCATAAAAGACGACAACCATTTCTTGATCAAAACAAAGCTGAAGCAGTGGCAGCTGATGGAAATGCTAATTACATTGTTCTTCCATCATTTTTCATGATGCATTAGATTTATTCTCATTTACAGATTATTTTGGCAGAAGGGTTCTCCAGGCTGTGACTGAACAAAAAGCAATTTCTTGTCTCAAGTTTGTTTGTTTTTTTTTGTTTTTTTTTTTTCTTTATGGAAACTTGTTTTGAACAAAGAACTGATAGTATAGACAATTACCAGCAGGAACTACCAAAAGATGATGTGTTCCACTCTAGTACTGTCAGTGGCTTGCCAATCCTTTTCCCTAAAATATTTGTAAAAACCTTGGAAATACCTATGAAATTTATAAAACAGCTCCTTAAACATCTGCTTAATGCCCTTTCCTTCAAACATAAAAGACCTCCATATTTCAGGGTCTTTTTCTGTGGATGCTAGGGAGAGGTTGAGGAAGAGGTAAAAGATAGGAAAACTCCTATCTTTTCAGTTGCTATGTTACAAAATTTAAATGACTACTAAAGTTTAAATACAGACTTTACATAACAAATCACAACAATGGAAATAAACCATAACTGAAAGCATATAAAATCCATATCAGGTCAAGTGACAGTACATTAAGAATAAACCTTATATGTTATACAGAAGGTAATATACACATACTGTAACAATTATTTTTCCCCTTAAAAGCCACTGTCAGTAGGATCACAGTCCTACTTCAAGTGACTTGAATATTTGTAATTACTAGCAGGGAAAATTTAGGTTATAAAAGAAAAATGTATCACGTACACCTTTACGCATGCCTACACTATGATTTAAATTAAAAGCCTTGAGCATTCTCCTACGTACTCCACCTTCGACCTAAATGGAATATCGCTGTCGGTATACAAACCTTAGGGAGGGCACTTCTAATCTAGTTATTATAACTATGCTAAAGGACAGCTATCTTACAAAGGAGATTAAGTTCAGATGTTTAGAAACTTTAACAATAAGAGAAAGTTAGAAACCCTAAACAGCTACTCGTATTTAACTATAATTACCTTTTAGAGAGCATTAGACTAAACTCCAGTATTTTCTATGGTCATTGTATTAAAAGAAAGTTCTACCACACCTAAAGGATAAGGCATAGCCATCTACTAATTGGCATATTTGTTTATTCGTCTCAGTTTGTGAAAAGGTCCTTATTTGTGTAAGCAGCAAAACAAACTCCAACTGAATGATTGCTATATGCAAAAGGACTGAAGGCAATTGCCTCTGCAGTGAACTTTACAGTTCTCAACAGCACACACGCAACATGCTATCTGAAAAAAGTTACTAACTGAACTACATGTATTAAATACTGAAAAAAGTTTTACATTTTTTATTATAATTTATTTTATTTAACAATCTAAGAAGTTTGCAGCCATCAGAAGTTCCAGTGCAATTTCAGGTGCAATTGGGAATTCAGGAATCTCCGTAGAGCTGTTAGTATAGCGGACCTTGTAGGTGAAATACATGCATACTTTGGATAGGACATGGGATGGGATCTCTCTGAAATTCACCTCATTTGTTTCATTTTCTGCAAATTGTCCTGTGGAAAAAAACCCAAACAAACAGAAAATCAGAACCAAAATTCACTGCAACATGAAATGCTTTACCATGTTAATACATCACATTCTAAATAGACTTGCATAAGTCCAATATTTCTGGATATTAGATTCTTCAATGTAAAGCAGGATGTGCCACTTTCACAACACTCAAGAATATTAAGATGCCCTGCATTACAAAATGTTTATTTTGACTGCAGCCTATTAACAATATTATGAACGACTACACCAGAATTTAGGTTTAATTCTGATGCTTGCTTGATAGGTGCTCTGAAACTGTAGTGTGCTCAGCTCAAAAGGCCACAGTAACGATGTGCTGTATTTTTTTTAAAGAGGTATCAAGACAAATTTCTAGCTGTCTTATCCAAGAAAAAAAATGGTTTATAGCTGTTCTGTATCTGCATCTGCACACTTATCAGTAGTCCCTTCTGTGATCTCACTAGCTTTGAATTTCTTGGTCCGTTTCAGGCAGATTTGACAGAGGGCTAAAACCTCAAAGACGCATTAACTTGATGAACTGTGAAAACAGGCAGGCAGGAGGACAGTTGTACTGGAGGAAAGGTTAAATACAGTACCAGTTAATCCCTATTAGATGTTGAAGTATTTACCCAAAGCTCATATCCCAAAACATGAGTATATTTGAAATCTTTCTTTAGTGCCTATAAGCATGAAATTTGAACAATAAAGTCATCCTGTGGTTAGTCCCACAGCCTCTCTACTTGTTATCTTTGTCCCTCTTTTCCTCATCTCTCTGGACTTTCAACTCATTACGCTGAAAGACAGTACAAAAAACATCAGTGTGTACTCCATATTTATGGGAGACCTAGCAATGTTTGGTTCCTACTATTTCTATAGGAATCCCCTTCCAAGTACAAAGCAGAGCTATTTACTAATGTCTACACAGAGATGTAGAAATATCTGCATGCACTGAAGCTAGTCTGGCTTTAATTCTAGTACAGGAACAGTAGCATATTGGTAATGTCACACTTACACATCAGTGAAATTATGACCTACTGAAGTAGAGAGCAAGAATACTTCTACTTGTGAACCCACTATCTTGCTAGTTTTTATACAAAATGTGTTTGAATACTGACTCCTTTACAGAGTCAGTTTTCTAGCCCTCTAAGCAGGCTATTTCACCTGTTATTTGTTCACATTATTTGTGGAACAAATCCAGAGCAGGTCTTTTAACTACTCCTCCTCTTACATGTCTGGGAGGCTGACATGGAGTGGATTAGACACAACATATCTGCTACATATTTTCAAATGCAATGATTACAACAATGACATTTAGCAGAACATTAAGCTGAGAATTTTAATTGATCGGTTTGCTCAACTGTTACTAGGTAATTTAAAAATATATCCAGCAAATAGATCTCTCCCCCTCACCAGAATCTAAAAGAGAATATAAGAATGACCATATTCAGACCAAAGCTTCCCGTAGCCTACTACCCACAACTCAAATGGTCAAAGGTAAATGTACGGGATGAGGGTACAGAAGAGGGAAGGCACACGCATTAACTTCTCCCTGTTCTCTCCTCCACCCGTTCAGTCTTCAAGAATTAGTTCAGACACTTCTTAAACCAGAGGTAGTCTCATATAATTCAGTAACACGAGGTCCTTCCCTTCTGTAAGCTTACCTACCCTCCTCTCACACATAAGCTAACTTTTGCCATTAAGCTCAGGAACTCCTTGCCATAGGATCTCGTGAACATGTTGTGGCCTAAACCCCAGTAGGTGGCTAGGCACCACACAGCCACTTGCTCACTCCCGCCCACAGGGGGACAAGAGAAGAGGAAAGGAAGAGTAAAAGCAAGAAAACTTGTGAGTCTCAACCCACAATAATAAGCAAAAGACAAGTGGAAGAAGAGAAACAAAACAAAACAACGGATGCAAAGGTAATCACTCACAACCTCCAATGCCCAGACTGATGCCAGACAGTTCCCAAGCAAAAGACAGCTAAAATCCCTAACACCCTCCTCTCCCTTCTTACTCGTGAACATGACATTACATGGCATGCAATATCTCTTTGGTAAGTTTGGGTCACCTGCCTAGTTGTGTTCCCTCCCAAGCTCTTGCACACCCCCCTGTCTATTCACTGGGTGGGGAGAAGAGTGAGAAACAGAGAAGGCCTGGACACTGCACAAACACTGTTCAGCAATAGCTAAAACATTGGTCTGTTATCAGCATTGTTTTGGTCACAAATCTAAACACAGAACCATATGACCTGCTATGAAGCAAACAACTCCATACCAGCCAGAGCCAGTACAGAATACTGAAAGTTCCACCATGGAGGTGGCAATGGAGAACTACCAACTCTTATTTGTTTTGAACTTGACAGCTACACATTTCATGTAATACCCTCAAGTTCTCATACCATGGGAAACTAGTAGTAATGACACTATAAGATCACTAACTGTCCAAAAGCAGACAGAGTCAATTATATGTCTTGTAGTACAAAACCCCACAGAGGTGGACTGTTCCACTGGAAATAAGAACTAGACAGGATCTGGAAAAGTTATAATTTATTCCACCTTTCACTCACTGCAAGATATAAATTCAAACTGTCCAAAAGTGAAAACTAAGGATGTGAAGGTACTACATAATTCGTGCCTACCTGGTCCACTCAACATAGCTTTTATTGTTCCTGATGTTAATGCATGCTCTCTTTTTACAATGAACTCATGGCCATCGGAGGATATTAACTTCACATACATAGCATCTGGGCCCTCACACCCACCATATGTTTTCTCTTCTCCATCTATAAAGGAAAAAAGATTAGCAATTTCAGAACACAGTGACTGATTCACATCACTGAGAATGCAAGCTGCAGTCTTTTCTATGGCTATGTTTGCAGATGGAAGAACACAATACACAGAAACATTTTGCATATTTGAAGATGACTTCTCTGAAGCGCTCAGCAATCTGTTTAAAGGAAGAATTTTTTAAAAAGTAATAGTTTTTTAATTAACATCTCTCCTTGCATTTCTCCATCACAAGACTGACATGATTTCTGAAGTCTACATAGGGATGAAATTTTCCTTTAGACATTCTCAAGTGAATTGAACACGCTACTGCTTCCCTTCATGAGGTTATTGCCATGCTTATCGTACTAGTACTTATTAGAAGTTACCTAAATACCTATCTAGTATTTAAAAACAGAGACTGCAAGGAAAAAAGAGCTTTTTGAAGCATGGGTAAGAATAAAAGCAGTCAGTATTTCTATACTGAAGAAATGACATGAAATAGGATTCATCCTCCCCACTGCCCAGCCAGAATCATATAACATTAGTGCACACCGGTGTTGTGACATTTGGTGGAAAACAAGGAAAGCGCAAAAGCACTAAAACCAAGGAAATTTGGAAACCCTCCCCACAGCAGTTTTGACTGTGCTTTTTCTGTTTCCCTTCTATCCCACTATATACCTGCTCTGTACTTTGTTTCTCTATAAGTCCTTATCCCCCTTCCCTTTTTGTTTATTCATTTATTCTCACCTAATATCACCATATTTAAAAGTTGAAAAAACAACATTACTGTCACCACCACTGCACTGTTTACTCTGTGCAGTCTTAGCACTTCCCCTGTCGTGCACCTGTCTTATCTATTTAGGCAGCATACTCCCTGGGGTAGGAACCACTGCCTACGTGGTGCCTGTGTAGTACTTAGTGCGATAGGACACCATAGCACTGTGGAGACTGTCTCTGTAATTGGTCTTGATATATTCCTGTAAAATTTTAAGTAATAATGACTACAGTAACTTTAAAATATTTTTGAAAAAATGAGTGTAAAAAAAAAAACCCCACCCCACTAAATATACAATTTCTATCAAGTTCAAACAGGTAAGCTAATGCCTTCTTTCAAATACTGTATTTTCTAAGGGAGTGCAGAACTAATTTGGCAAGTATTGCTAAAATTCCATTTTAAAAATACTTGAATTTGATACTACACATGAAATTTTATTTTCAGAATGGTATTAACCTTGACAGAAAGTTAAAAATGAAAGTCCTGGAAGTTCTTCCAGCTTAGAAAAGTGTAACAAAAGAGATCTGTACAATTCTAGGCAAGTAATATACTGCCAGTATTTCATGATCACATGCAGAAGCATGAAAAATAAAACCGATACAGACTACAAACTTGACAATTGATTGTAAGTGTTGTTTCTCCTTCTCACCAAACAAACAGAAATTAGATACAATGCAGGGTAGTTATTCTAATATGATTAATATAGTGTCATAGCAAATATAACATTCCCCCAATCAGTTAAGCTGCTTTGTGAATTTGAAGTTAAAATTGAATTACCATGTTGTTAGTGCCAATTTTAATGAAGTACTGCCAGTGCCAAAGATGCTAAAATACATTCAGAAAAAGTACAGCTAAAACCAGAATCTGTCCAATTAGGTTTCATGAACCAGTCATTTGCAGAGGCAGATACAACAATTTCAGACATTTAGTCAGGTCATACACACAGAGTAATTTATCAGAAGTCAGTCCTTATTATGATCTCTTAAGACAGAATTCAACCAGCTGACCTTAGTTAACAATCAAAAAAGAATTTAAAACAGAACAGTGAAATTTTCTTGTCCACTATCTAAAACTTTAGTGCTACAAAAGCCTAAAGGCATCCTATTTTAGCATGTATATCTCCAGCACTATGCATATTAAGCAATTTAAATTTATTGTTAGATGCACTCTGAACAAGTCTTTCGACAACTTAACAGTCACTTGAGAAAATCCTCCTAAAAAACATTTGTAGGAAGGCTTCTGAGGCTACAAGAAAAACAGTGACAAGATGAACATTTAAGCTCTTAACAATCTACCTCCTCTACCAATGTAAGAGATACAATGCTTCATGTTATAGGAAACAAAAAAGAACCTCTAATATGATGAACTTACCCATTCTCTTCTTATAAAAAAAATTGTTTCTTTTCAACAGCACCTTTTGCAATAGGAGCGTCTGAAAAAACACAAGTGGCAATATTTTCAGTCAGTAGTACAATTTCTTAAGTCAGCTTTAGTAATTAGCCTTTATATTATCATAAACACTATTCAGAAAAGAATATGAGGATACACAGCATGCAACATTGATGAGCATGTTTTGAAAACATTACGTTTTGAAACTTAGCTTTGCTAAGTCCAGAGATCCCTACCATATTAAAGAATCTCTAAATTTTATCTTATTTTGTAAAGAAGTTGTTCCCCTGTGCTTTTTAAAGGCTCTTGATTATTAAACCAGAGTTATTTCAAGAGCTTATGACTTGTATCACTATGGACACCATCCATGCAATGGTACTGAAGAGGTAAAGAAAGCAAGTACCTGCAAAAGGTACTTATGAGACTGAACAGCTTGTTGACAGAAGAAAAAACAAAGAAGTCCGTGAACAGTTTACTATGCTGTGAATAGAGGAATGGATGCTCTGCCTTTCCGAGGGAGCTCAACAAGCTAGTGAAAGGGGCCAACAGGAAATGTATAAAGTTCGTGAAAGGGAAATTAAAACCCCTGCACCTTGGGAAGAACTGCTCCAGGTACCAGTACTGGCTGGCGGCTGACCAGCTAGAAAGCAGCTTTGCAGAAAAAGACCTGTGGGCACTGGTGGGCACTAACTTGAACATGAGCCAGCAACATGCCCTTGCAGCAACGGCGGCCAACAGCACCCTGGGCTGTATTACGAAGAATGTCGCCAGCAGGATAAGGCAGGTGATCCTGCCCCTCTACTCAGCACTGGCGGGACACATCTGGAGTGCTGGGTCCAGCTCTGGGCCTCCCAGTACTGTCAGACTGAACTGAGTCCTGCAAAGGGCCACGAAGATGACTGAGGGATTGGAGCAGCTGTTGTACAAGGAGAGGCTGGGAGAGGTGGGGTTGTTTAGGCTGGAGAAGAGAAAGCTCAGGAATCAATCTAATCAGTATGCACTAAATACCTGGTCTCCAACCTGTCTTTCTCAGAAGATTGACAGTTCCTGATACAGCCACCAATGTCACCTAGGTAATCTGCTTCAGACATGTAACGTAGGCATTCACATGGTAAATCAGCCAGGAGCTTCCATAGATTATAAATTGACATGTAGCTTGCAGCATGTGTATTTTGCCATGTACATGTATCCAAAGAGTTAGAGAAACAGAAGTGTTTATTTGCAAAACAAATCAAGCATGTTCAGATACAACATATATTTCTTTACACTTGACTGTATCTCTGCTGTGGAAAAGAAAACTTTGGAAAATAAATTCCACCCCCCAACCTCCTGTCTTAAAATTCCTTTCACGTCAACAGCTACTCTCCAAACATTAACCCAGTACAAATCAATGAACTACTGGTGTGTGCCCACAGGTTCAAGAAAACAGCACCAGTGATTCTGGGTGGTTTCCCAGACGATATCCAGGGTTGGTCAGAGGCAGCAAAGAGACACTTCAGAATTCTGACAATCCATGTTGTTGCTTCAAAAAGCAACAAGCAACAGCAGAGGCACAAACTGTGATTACTCACTAGAGAAAGACACCAGAGCGGGAGGTGTGAAAAAACAGAATAGAGACCATTTCCCCCATCCCTTCTCTCCTATGCTTCTGGTAAAAGCTTAGCAAAAAAATGTAAGCAAGTTGAGGAAGGAGCTACAAGATTTGGAGGAAGTTTTACAGAGATCTCGAGATCTCTGCAGAAGGCGTAGTTCCTTGCTATTGCTGAAAGCTTCACTTCTCAACAGCACTTTAATGCTGATTTACTCCATCTTCCTTTTTTCATAACTACAAATATGAAATAGTCTGTTTCCTCAAGCTTTCACAAGAAGGCACTTCGTTATGTACACCTAATCAAACTATACACATGCATAACCAATAGTTTTCAGTTGTCTGTGGAGAACTGAGCAAAAAGTATCCTTCACTTACATTGTTGTTGTCTTTGAAAATTATCCTGACTTTACAGAAATATCTTATAAAATATTTTCCTTCCCCACTGGTATAAGGAACATCTTCACTTGTACTCTTGCAGACGAAAAGTTCCTGAGTATGAGGCACATTCAAGAATGCCCTTTGAGAGTTAATCTGTGTACACTGTCATAGAGGTACCTCGATATCAAGTGTTATATGTCCTCGCCATTTTCAGTAATTCCAGAAACTCGTCCAGGGAAATTACATTCAGGTGCTTAACAGCTGCAGCACAAAACTGATGGGACCTTTCATCCTATTTCATCAGTTTTTGTAAATGATAATCAAGCATCTTACTGGAGAGTATCTGTTGCTCAGGAACTGAAGTGATACCTTACGTTATTACTTCTCCTTCACAGAACAGGATCACTTGTGTTACCTCTAACCACACAACCCCTCCTCACACTCCAGAAGAGTAGTGAAACCAGTTATGATTTACAAAAAATAATAATTTTAAAAAACACAGAAAAAGTGATACCATTTTGTGGAGGTACTGGTGACAATAAAATGTGCCTTGGTTTCTAATACAAATAATGCTACTAAATACAGGAATAAAGACAGGTTAATTAGTAGGAATGCAAACATATTAACACCTTCCAAGGTGAAAGCATAACTTGAACAAGCTAATACATTAAAGCTGGGGAATGGAAAAAACGTCTAAACCAAAATATTAGAGTTGTCCCCAAAAAGTTGCCATGGGCATTTTTTCATAAAACCAAATGAAATGTGCTATCATATGATAGAGAGAGAAAAAAATACAGTCCTAAAAAAGAAAAAAATTATCAGGTTTAGTGGCTTGAATTCAATTGTATTAAAAAGGAAAACAGGATAAAAATGCAGTAAGTGTAGGCAGATTTAGTACATGCTGGACTAATCCAATACCTAAAAAATTAATCAGTCATTTCCTTGAGAAAAGGAAACTCAAACAAGATGCAATATGAACTCAGTAAACCATCTCAGTTTAAATAAATTTGATAAGAGGGTAATCTTAAAAAGAGAAAGAAACTTTCCATAAGAACACAGTATGATGTTGCAAACATGGAACAACTGGACAAGGAACAAACTACTAGTCCCTCCAAAAATGATATAGAACTTTTTTTTTAAAACAATGCTGACAGAAAATAGGTAGATTTAGATGAGACAGAAGTGGAAAGCACTGCAACAAAAGAGGAACAGAGTATCACACGCGTAAGTGACTGGTCTTGAAAAACGGCATACTAGAAGCCACATGAAATGAAATAATATGAAAGGCAAGATCCCAGAACACAGGGACTGATACAACTTCTTTCATGTAGTCTGGCCTTGTTATTTGGGAGTAGTCATTCTGTGTTCAACTGTAAACTGATGCAGCTCTGTATGGGGAAAAAAGGGAGGTGGGGAGAAAAAGGCAAATGCACATCAAGGATTTCTTTGCAATAGAGACAGGGAAATATGAACATTGTTGCACATGAGCAACAACTTGTCTGGTATACTACACACAATTCTGAGCTCCTGTTTTCAAGAAAAGAAATTCTAATTACAAGAAGTACAGAAAGGAGCTTCTGATATGACCAAAGAGCCTGTTGTATAAAAGAGAAATTAGTCTTGCTTACTCAGCTTAGCAAAATAAAACTGGAATGAAGATAAATATAGCAATTAAACGATAAATATCAGAGGGAGAAGTATGCCATGTCATAAAAAAAAAATCTAAACAGATATTTGTGAATACTATTAGGAGTATACATTTACTCCTGAAAAAATATGGACAACAGAGAGCATAGAAAGACCATAGAGTCAGTGCAAGAAAAGAGGAGAGAAGAAAAGTAAGAAAGCTGGGAAACCTGAAAAAAGCAATTGTAACCTTATAGCATCTATTGGTTCCTCTTCTGGATTAAAAAGTGTCCAGTGTGTCATGATGCTTTATGAAGATTAAAACACTTTAGTTCAAAATTATTATTTTGTGAAAAGCATCTTCTTCTGAACAACTACACTCAGGTTACCTGAGACAGTATTATGATCTTGCACAAGACACAGCCTATTTTTTCAGTCAACTATCTTACTGGTTCATAAGTTTACAGCAAAGTAAGTGGGAACAACAGAAGAAATACACTGGGAAAACTGGCACAGAAAACATGCACTATTTGATTTATTTATTTTTTTAATAGAAATCTTGATTTGTTATTTAACATCCCCCAAAACCAGGGAAAAAAATGCACATAGAAAAGAAATTAGGCAGCTGATGAATGCAGAAATCCCTGCTGTGTAGTAAAAGGAGTGTAAAGGGAAATTTTCTGCACAAAATATATTTTTTTTTTTTTTAAATTGACAATTGCGTGTCCTTAAGTATTACAAAGTCAAATGACCTGGTATGATCTCTTACCAGAAATTATTTTCTTATAGTCTATCTTCCAACACACTATTTATTGCAAAACATGTCACTGTATTTTCCTTCTGTATAATTAAAACAATATAAATGACAACATTTGTCAAGACAACATGAAGAGACTCCTTGAGATTTCTGAAGATGCCTGATAACTACCTATATTTTAGTTACTGTTCCACATTTTGTAGCTGCCCCTGTCTGATTTCACCAAGACCACACCAATGCAGCAGCAGGGAAGAGAATGATATTTTTTTTTTGAACACTCAAGAATTTGTCTTTTTTATTATGTATTTCTGACGTATTTCAGCCTCCTGCAAAGAATCACTAATTTTTGTTGAAGTAGATTCAAAATTTCATTTCCCCTTTGAGAAGCTTACATGGCATTACCAATCAGATAGCTCAGCTCCCTGCCTTTAATCTCAAAAAAGGACATATAGTAGTTATTCTTGTTCTCCTGCCTTGCCTCCTTAAAATAAAAGATGAGCAAAGACTCCATTCATTAAAGAAAAAGATGACATAAAAAGGATATGCCACTTTTTAATCAATGAGGGAGAACACAATACAACTAAAACCAGTGTATTTGGCACAGAAACTTTCCAACTAGTCTAAAAAGGAAGCTCTTGCTGCAGAAAACACTAAATTCTCATTAGATATTAGAGAGCTGAAAAATTTA